CCCATTTCCCCTACTTTGTGCTCTGGGGCACAAAACTACTTGCACACGCTCAATGAGGTACATTCAGCTTATAGCTGGGGGTTCCCAAAACCACCCTGTGTGAGGCACTTTATATGTGCAGAATCTATGAAAAGTGTAGAAAATGAAGATCAGCTGGCTTGGTCAGAGTCACACAAATTATGACAGGCAGGACAGAAATTCAAGCAAGTCTCTAATGTTAGAGCTCACACTCTTCTTCTGATGTTAGAGCCCACTGTACTTCAGTTTATTCATTTTTCAATAAAATATACAACTACATAACTATATCATGATGCTAAAAGTACATTTAATTTAGCAGCATTGAATTATGATTCCAAATCCCAGTGTCAGCTATTTTTTACTTGCAATAACATAATTGCTTTTTGGTCTTAATTCCGACAACTGGTCTATGCAGTATGAATCATTAAAATACACTTAACGTGTCAGATGAGGATTTGTTCTATGGAAATACTCAGGAATGTATTCAAATTGAACAAAAATTGGTCCAAAATACCCCTGAATGTCCACCAGTTTGACAAATGGCCTAAAAAGCTTGCTAATGCTTTCATTCATGAAAAAATTAGCACTGCTGCTCCACCAGGTGCGCCTAACCCACTGGGCAAACAGAGGGAGCACTTTGCAGACCCAACTCAGCATTTCCAAGTGTTCTACTTGGATCTGCATTTAATTTTTCTGCCCCAACAGCGGTAAACTACTGTACAACACTAGCCAAATAAACATGACAACTACCCAAGATTTTTGTGTTAGCCATCCAGCGGAGGATGGCAGAGAAAGCAGAAGGTATACTATTTACAACTAAAAAAAAAGTGTAGCTGGCAGTCTGGTGACTAAGCTCCTGATTTGTGCAGTTCTTTCTCCTAGTACTAAGCTCAGCACCTTACGGAATGTGTTATGTCATCATTGTTCAACATCGAGGCAGTGGCCAGGCAAAATGAATGCCTTTCATGTTGTGTAAGACAAGAAGCTTCAAGCTAAATAACAGGTACATGTAACAACTCTGCTGTTGGTTCCAAACTGTTCAGCTCAACGACTCCATGGACCTTTACACTCACTCTCTGGGCTCCAGAGAGAAAGATAGGGACCACTGTGCCTTAGCATAGTCCTGTAACATAACATTGGCCAGGAGCTGTGGGCAAGGCAGGGAGAACTGAGCAGAGAGGTACAAATGAGAAGCACCCTCTCCCACTCAGGGTTTGGAAGTGCAGGGCCGGCTGGTGGCAACACAGGGCCAATCAAGAGGAAACACTGGGCTTGCTGAGAGCAGTAGTGGAAGTCGATTCTGAGTTCCTTCCAAAATAACCCACAGTCTTCCTAAGGACTTGATAACCATGAAAATGATGCTACTTTTTTCCATTATGGTGTGTAAGTCTCTCATAGGATCAAGAGTCTTCTGTGGCCCTTCTGAGTCTTGAAGAGTGAAAAACAGCAAATAAGAGAGGCTTAAACCTGCATGTATACTCTGGTGAATTCCTGGTTTCCATGATGCTCCAAAATGCTTCCACCACCATTTCTAGCCTGTTTTTAGTCTCTTGTAATATTCTGATACCTAGTGCTGCAACTTAGCTATCACAACCGATTCTGTTTATAACCCAGACACGTAAATATTCCCACAAAAGCAGGGTGTGGAAAGAGCTAGAATTAGTCAACAAGGCTGCATCTGGAAACTGACTCCAAATGTCAACTTGCTTTGAATAATATGCAAAATAAGACATGGGCTTCCCTTGTGACTTCCAAAAAAATCCTTTTCATTACAATTAGTAATATCTCCTTAACCATCAATAGAACCTAATCTTTAACATGTCTACTTTTTAAAATTATTTAGAACATTATTTTTTAAGGAACAATTTGCAAACCTACTGCACATGTTCTTTAAGATAAAATATTTGTGACTCTATCTTGATGCTTAAAATCTTACAGTATCAATTCTTTTTTCAAGGCATTCAGTAATTTATCAAACTCAGTAAATTACATGGAGAGTTTTACAATACTGGAATCACTTGTGCTCTTTATATTTTAAACAAGCTTATCTGTGCATGGCCACTTAAAATTTACCCCCCCCATTAAAAAACCATCAATTAAATTTGTTAATAACAAATTATTGAGAATAAAAACAAAAAGTCTATTTTAAAATCTGATTTCCTAACCCTGCATGACTCTAATTGATGAATCTCTTATTAATCATTAGCTATAAACTGCTTAATTGGATTGGTATCATGACAGAGAAGCTAAAATAGCTGACAAGCCTAAAATATTCCTAACTTTTACTGGCACACAAGGATTTTTCTACAACACACATACATGAATGAGACAAGCACACTACTTGGATATACTTCTAGCAATCTTCCTCCTAAAATATTTCATACTAATTAAAAAGGCAACAGTCCAGAAAGATGCACAAAATCTAATTCATTCCTCACTGTAAATGTGGTCACACTGATTCATTTCTGAACTGTCCGAAAAATATGAAAGATACATTGAAAAATGCTTATTGAGACAAGTTTTAAGCTCTTGTCATTAATTGCTAATAAATGCAAATCAAGGTGAACCTTAATACTGCAGCTAGCTATAAATACCACTTGCATTTCTGTGATTGAATTTGTTCCTCTTTATCTCACAGGGCTTGAATCAGGTCAGTCTAACATGTATTAGCAAAAATGCTGCGGCAATGTCTAGATGTGCTTGGTTTATCAACCATAGTTTTTATAAAATGATCTCTTTACCATAACAAAATCAATGACATTTTGTGTATTTTTTGTTGCTTTTCTGGTGCTGAGGATCAAATCCAGGAGTTTGTGTATATTATACAAGTGCTCTATCACTGAGCTATACATCCTCAGCCACAGACAATTTTTTTTTTTGGTACCAGGGATTGAACTTGGGTCCTTGTGCTTGCGAGACAGGCAGTGGAACCACTGAGCTAAATCCCCAGCCCATCCACCAATGAGTTTTTAACAAGTGCTGTGTCACAACATAAAAGAAAAATCTGCTTTAGTGAAACATTAATGAAGCACATGTAATGGTGTTATCTAGCTACAATAACTAGAGATTAAGTAAATAAAATTAAGTTTTAATAAAATTTTAAAATATTTTTAACTTTCAGTTCTTGCTTTTGTCCTATACCTATATAGTTGAATGAATGAATATATATATATATATATACACACACACACACACACGGTATTATATACACATGTAATTTAATATATGTACTCAAATCTATCAGCCTTTGAATAGTATCAGAGAAATCCATTTTCCATTTTACTGGAAAATCTGAACTAATTTAAAGATAGAGAATAAGAGCAACTTTTGTTTAAACTGGATTGCCTTTTAGTACTGCACAAACAGGAGAACTAGAAAAATTCTAATTTTAGAAACTGTAGCACGTATTTCCACTAGGCAAACTATCAAGACAGTAGAGAGACAGTGTAAGTGTCTGTACTTTCTTGACTACACAACTGGAATCAGAAAATCTTAGATACGAGTGCTCAAGCGCGCAAACATACACACGTTTTTATCCAAAGGCAACTATCTTTTCTTAAATCGTTGTCAGTGAGTTCCTAACAGTTGTGTATTCCATTTTTTTAAGATAGAAAATTATTGGCTCCTCTATATTCCTCACTTTTATTGAGTCATTGTTTCTAAAATTCTTCTGTTTAGTGCACAAATTGTTTGTAAAAATCTAAAACAGTACCCAAAGTTTCATAAAGAAAACAGCCTCTATACAGATTTATATGGCCTTCAAAAAGATAATCTTAGGGATTAAATAATCAGAATAAATAGAATTTTAAAAATTTAGTCAAGCAAATATTTTCCACTAGTTTTACTAGTACATTGGAAATAAGTCATCTAAACATTTTGGCAACACCAAATCACAGTGTCACAACTAGTGAAGAAAACATCAAAAGGAGAGATGGCAGATGGCCACGCAGTAATGCAAATTTCATTAGCACCCAGTCTCACTAGGGTAATGGTGTTTACTTTCTCACTTCCAAATAGAATACAACTACAGCATACACTAGAGCAAATGAAGAATTCCTGCCAAGTTTTTATGACAAAAGGACAAAAAAGGTGCTTCCTTTTTCTTTCATATATTAGAAGAAACTCTATTAAGATAAGAAAAGATAAACATAGCATAAACAATTAAAAGCTCTATACAGAATAAATCCAAGTTTAAAAAATTGATATTTCCTTATCAAAAATTTTTGAGATTTATCATTTTTTGAAATGTTATAAAAATTAATTCTTTTATATTCACACAAATGTCTTTATAGTTCATAGAAGAGACAATTCGTTAAGCTAGAGATATTCATTAACATATTTGGAAATGTTAGGTGTTTTATACTTTTATCCCAATATCCTAATTATTGATAAAGAATCATTATGGTTTACTGTATCTTAAAAGAAGAAATAGGGCCAGGGAGTTAGCTCAGTGGTTCTGGCGCCTGCCTCACAAGCTCAAGGGCCCGAGTTTGATTCCCCCATAACAAAGTAAAAAAACATAAAAAAAACCACTAAGGAGCAATATATATTAAACATATATTCTAATTAGAACCTCAAGATAAAGTTGATAAAGAATCATTATGGTTTACTGTATCTTAAAAGAAGAAATAGGGCCAGGGAGTTAGCTCAGTGGTTCTGGCGCCTGCCTCACAAGCTCAAGGGCCCGAGTTTGATTCCCCCATAACAAAGTAAAAAAACATAAAAAAAACCACTAAGGAGCAATATATATTAAACATATATTCTAATTAGAACCTCAAGATAAAGTGATTTAAGGAGCAAGCTCAAGGGCCCGAGTTTGATTCCCCCATAACAAAGTAAAAAAACATAAAAAAACCACTAAGGAGCAATATATATTAAACATATATTCTAATTAGAACCTCAAGATAAAGTGATTTAAGGTTTGGAATGTACAATATCTAATTATTTCTTCAATAGTTCATACATATGTTTTATTATCTTACCACAATGATTCTATCATGAAGCTCCAGTCCATTCACTTTGTCAGCAGGTCCATTTTCTAAAATTTTTGAAACATAAATTCCTTCAGTTGATGATTCTTCATGATTAGTCTAGGAGAAAGAAATACATAGGCAAACTTTTTACTAAAGGACAATTTTCTAAACAAACATTTCCAGTCATCTTTAAACAAGAAACACTCAGCTGAGAATTTGGCACAGGATTTTAACTTAACATCAATGAGTCATTAGTCAAGATGGCAGCTTCAATGAGCAAGGCAAGCATCTTTGACAAGATACCGGTGTGCTTCTCATTTTGATTACACTTAACAAGCTACCGGGACAGGGCATGCACAGGTGAGATCAACTGGTTCTTGTCTTAAAAAAAAAAAAAAAAACTCATTTCCAAAGTGAGGGGTAAGTAAAGATGGTGATAAACATATAGAAGAAAAAATATCCAGCCCCTGTGAAATAGGTTTTAGATATGTTCATAACTTTGAAAATATGATTTAGCTTCATAATCAGTGTCACAAACTTAGAAGCACCTCTGAGAAGGTCTATTCAGAGGAGACTAGGACCTTGCTGCTCAATTGTGAAATCCTAAAAGATCAACTCAAAACTGCAAGGGTTCAAAGCTAAACATTGCCTAAGTTTCCAAGTATAATGTGTCTAATGATAGTTAAACCTCAAACATACAGCCCTCATGATACAAATAGGGCACTAGCCAATCACAACATACCAGTTATATTGTAAGATGTATTTAAGGAAAACATCCATCCTATACTGATATATTTTATGGCTATAGGTGTTATTCTACTGCATGGCAGGTTACATAAAATCATTTCTCCTCACTTAGCCAGCCTTCGTATGAGTTTCAAGAAGCTCTGAAAAATCTCCAATGTCATCTCAATGTCAAATATTTCTTGGCACTCATAAAAATATCCTTTGGGCAAAACAGAACAAAAATGATTTGATGAAAAGTTTTCTATCTTCACATAATAAGTGGGGAGCTTTGGAAACAGAAACACAGCAGTTGTTAGTTGCTAGGTTTCCTGGCTGCACACAACATGAGAGGAGGACTGAGGTCGCCACCTCTCTGTCCTAAGCATAGCATATGGCCAGCAACGCTCAGTTTCCTTGGGGGACATGCAATACAAAAGGTGCAAAGACCCCATGGCAGCCAAGTGGGAAAGTCAGGGAACACGACTGAAAAACTTTACAATTTTTTTCCACTTAGATTAAAAATTAAGGAGATATAGAGCTTGAAGGATATGAAAGAACTTTGCAGTAACAGTACAGGGTGTAAGTTTATAACATGCATTTTGAAAATAACTAGCATCAATATAGGGATCATTATTCATTGCATTATAAAGGAGTTGGAAAGTCAAAAATATTTCAAATCAATGTTCTTTAAAATGAATTTCTTTATGTAATTATGAAAATGATAATGCTTTATTTCAACTACTCATGCACTTAACATGCATTAACTTCCCAAACTGTGTTAATGTCTAAAAATTGAACAATCTGACTTAACAGAAAGTTTAACAGGCAAAACAAGTACCTAATATTACCAAATAGAAATTGCCTATGTATTTTACAGTAGACTCAAGTTACAACTGGCTTGACATACGAACAACTTGGGTTAATGAAAGATTCACTTGCCTCTTATCTGCAGAGTGTCCCCAGCCAAACATCCAGCTCTCAGTTGTACTGACTTAGTTACAACCAGCCCTTGGAAACTGATCAAGTTTTAAAGTCAAGGGTCTGCTGTACTATGAAATGGGTTTAAGAAATTTGCCAATGGTGTGATAAAATGTGAAATCTACAGTCTGTCTTTTTGGAATGTAGCTTGTCAGCAGTTTTTTTTCCCCCTCTTCAAGAAGGAAATCTAGATAGCACTGGAAAATTTATATAAAGCAGTTTGGTATTTGATCATAAGCATAATTTTAAATACTGAACCATTTGTTTTCTGACTTAAAACACACAAATGAGAGGTTGGCCTATTATTTTATAAGTGGAGAATAACAAAGGGATTACCTGATTTGGGCGACCTCCTATGATGTTGAATCCCAAGGTGTCATTTTCTCTTTCTAACACAATAGTGAATGTCTTCTGTTTTCCATCCTGGAAAAAAAGGGAGAAATGATTAAAGAATATAAAAGAAAATAAATAACATAGTAAGTTCTTTTACATAAAGATATTACTTGATATTATTATGAAGTATTTGAAAAGGGAAAAGTCTTGAAATTAAGGATGGTAGACTTTGGTAGAAGGTTAATTTCTTCCCAAACATACTTTGAAAGTAAGTATTTGAAGGTAACAACTTATACGTCAGAGTGAAAAAAAAATACTGGTTTCAAAAATGACCAAATAAGGCTGAGGATTTAGCTGAGTGGCTCCAGCACCTGCCTCACAAACACAAGGTCCTGAGTTCGATCCTCAGTACCAACAAAACAGCAACAATAACAACAAAAAACAGAAAAACAAAAAAGACTAAATAGCTTTGTGTTTTATACCTGTAGCATCTAATTTTGACATGTAATTTAAAACAGATGGGTTTTCTGTTCAACCTTGCAGGAATTTTTATTTTTACTTTTTGTGCCAGAAAAGCAAAAACAATTGTCCGTGGATCTTATAAATGTTTTATGTAAAATACTCATTCTAGACAGTCTTCAGGGATTAAGAAATTCTGAGCTAGTAACGAATTTCTTTTGACACGGATAGTTGTGTTGCTGCTGTAATGTAGGATCTGTTAGGCTCCACGAAGTGATCCTAGTTTTAAACGATATCCCCATTTGGTTTTACATAGGTCTTGAGTAAAAAAGGATTCTTGTTAGAGGTACATAGTACAGGTGCTGTATTTCTTTCCTGATGGTCCAATAGTAGTTAAGCGAATAGACATTAGATTTACAACCTGTTTATCAGTGACTTAAATAGAAGAATACACACACACAGTGCTGGGTGAGTTTTGGTCACTCTTACTGTCGCTGGTAATTATGTTAGGAAATCAGACGTTCGGCAGTAACTTCTGAAAGATAAAATTCTGCAAGCATTCATCACTCTCAACTCCTAGGCACTTGGCACAGCAGCCCCTGCTGGTGGTGGGGAAACATTTGCAAGGACCCCGGAGCTCTGGAACCCTTCAGAACGGGCAGCTCTTCCCTTCTCAGAGCCAGATTTTACCTGGCTGCGTGGACCCTCCGCATCACAGCTGTTGCTCCTTTCCATCAGCCAGCGCTTCCCTAAGACTTTGACGCGGGAAGTAGGACTGCAGAACGTATTTCTGGGCTTTTCTCCAGGTCTTCCCATTTGTAAAGTGATTTGTTTATAAATAGGCCAGAGAAAGAACCCTGGCATCTCATCTTTTAGCGCCGTGTGCTTCCAACACTAGCGTAGAAATATTTTAGCCCCTCTCTCTCCTTTTTTTTTTTTTTTTTTTTTTTTTT